TATTTAATGCTGTACTGTTTAAAAACAGTGATTTTTAAACACTTGATTGGGAGCCGACCAATCCATACCCTCCATTTCTCCAATTAACACAGGGACATCCTAAGGAAAAGTGAGCGCCCATTGCTCGGTCCCTGCTCCTGCCAACCTAGCAGTTCGAAAGCACGTCAAAGTGCAAGTAGATAAATAGGTACCGCTCCGGTGGGAAGGTAAACGGCGTTTCCGTGCACTGCTCTGGTTCACCAGAGTCATACTGGCCACATGACCCGGAAGCTGTACGCCGGCTCCCTCGGCCAATAAAGCGAGATGAGCGCCGCAACCCCAGAGTCGGCCACGACTGGACCTAATGGTCAGGGGTCCCTTTACCTTCACCTAGAGCTTCAATAAGTTGCCTGATCTGTTTCAGAGCCACTCTGTGTCTTTCCAGTTTGTCTCCTTATTTGGGATGGGATTAGATCTATTAAAAACAAAGCCCGCTTTCGCCTTCCCATTCAACAATATTGGAAATCTAAAAACAGATAGAACTCTTTTCTCTTTTCACAGAAGCAGATAAAACTTGCAGGCATAAGAGTCCTTCCCGAGTGGATTAAGCCTGCCAAATTGTAGGCAGATTTATCCAGGGGTGTTCATGCAGAGCACCTTTACTTTTTTATTTTTTTAAGGATAAAGTATTTTATTTTCTGATGGAACTGGATATACTTTGTGGGAATACTCACCTCTTCAAAGGAGACCAAGCCTGCTAAGTTTCAGAAGAATAGCTGCAGTGGGTTTCTCACAAAGGTAAACTTTAATATTGGAGGGAGGGAAAATCATAATTCTAGTAGGTCGGGTGGGAAATGGAGCATGGGACCCCAAGAAAGATGGGAGTGGTGAAAGTGTTACCATCCAGTAAGGATCATGTTTCCTAAGAGTCATGGGGAGGGGGCTTCTGCTTGTATTTTGGGGGACACAACTTCTATTCCCTGGGAGAGATCTATCCATTAGCTTACGTTGGAGAAGGGGTGTAGGAGGAAGAAAAAGTGTGGCTCCCCAGGAGAGACTGAGGTGAGAGAATTATCAGCCTTCCAGCAAGGATCCTATTACCCAAAGGCTCATAACTGCATTTTTAGACTGTTTGAAGCCCTTCACATACATGAAACCATGTGAAACTATGGAATTACCCACTCAAATCTCATGATAACAACCATTTCTGCTACACACAAGAACAGATTGCTGTGCTCCACAAACACAAAACAGCTATAGGAATTTCAGCAGAAGCGCAACAAATCCGAGGCTGAAAACGTCTAAGATTATATCTAAACTACAGCAGCTACTACCCTTGAAGCACAAATCTTTGCACTGGGTTTCCAATATGCGGAGGGGAGCCAGAGATGTTTTGCCAAATGTCACCCTTATGTTATAGTTTCTGAACACTTTGTCACTTTGGCCTGATCTGCAACTTGCAACAGAATGAGGTGGTTGTAGAAAAATCCTAAAATGATAGGGGAGGGAGGCTGTACCACTTCTGACTGTGAGTCAGAAAGGCCATTTTAAAAAAAAAAATCTGTTCCTAGGTTTAAAAAATCCTATCACCTCAGGCTTCTGCTTCTCTGCTGTATGTGTAGACTGACCAGATTTTAGTTGTCCAGTGCAGCAAATGCAATTCTAAACTGCAGAGGTACCTTGGTACTCGAACGGCTTGGCTCCCGAACAAATCGTTCCCAAACGCCGCAAACCCAGAAGTGTTCCAGTTTGCGAACATTTTTTGGAAGCTGAAAGTGTGACACGCCTTCCGTGGCTTCTGATTGAGTGCAGGAAGTTCCAGCAGCCAATCGGAAGCCGCGCCTTGGTTTTCGAACAGTTTTGGGAGTCAAACGGACTCCCAGAACAGGTTAAGTTCGAAAACCAATGTCCCACTGTATTCACAAAGGTCCCCAAAGTCACTCCATGTTTATTACCTGTTCAATAAACTATCGCATACATTTCACGGTGGGGCTGATCAATCCAAGTATAGCAGTGCAAAGTTTTGTTTCATTTTCTAAAAAAAATAGTCTACTTTTGAGCACATCAGTACCAACTCTGAGTTGCGTACTCACAGGTTCTTGTGGTTGGGGTTATTTTGGCCTTTTAGATGGACTACACATAATAGACATCCATTTCTTATTCACCAGGTTCCCACGGTAGAAAACCTTCTCCTTCTTACATTTGGTCGTGAGCCTCATTGTAGCTGAGGGAGGAAGAGGCAAGAGTGGTCTCGCAAAACTGTCCATGACACCTTGGGATGAACCTGGAAAAAATCCTGGGGTGTTGTAGTGCCTGCCCCTTCTTTACTCTGAGCCAAAAATGAATATGGCTCCCTTATAATAATGTATTTGAAGCACTGTTCTTTCCGACAGGGCTTGAGAGATAAGGTGAAATGCCATTTTATACCAATGAAAACCTCCATGTGCTTCCACCCTCTGCTAACATATACATCTTTGCTTCCCTCTAGTGTCTCTAGTGAATACAACAGGCCTCAGACATTGTAAAGTTTCATGTGAAAGCTGCTGTAGTTTACAAGTTGGTACAGTGGTACCTCGGGTTACATACGCTTCAGGTTACAGACTCCGCTAAGCCAGAAACAGTACCTTGGGTTAAGAAGTTTGCTTCAGGATGAGAACAGAAAGCACGTGGCGGCAGCAGGAGGCCCCATTAGCTAAAGTGGTGCTTCAGGTTAAGAACAGTTTCAGGTTAAGAGCGGACCTCCGGAACGAATTAAGTATGTAACCAGAGGTACCACTGTAATTTCTCAGTTGAATTGTTGCAACTCACTCTATGTGGGACTGGCTTTGGGAGTGGTTCGGAAGCTGCAGATGGAAGCTCACCTCCCAAATGTAATGCTGGTTTTGATTGATTTGGCTGCCAAAAGGCTACTGAACTAAATTTAAAGTGTTTGTTTTGATCGCAATTAGGCTTCCACACTGCAACATTTTCTCTTTTTCCCCATTGCCAGGCCAATGGGAAAAAGGTTGGAGAAAATGAAATTAGCATTGCGAGAATACAGTGTTAGAAATTAGCCAGGCGCCAGGCGCATTTTGCAACTGGTCCAATTGTGACCACGTGGAGATCTCTGGATGCCAGACTGGCGAATGGGGAAAGCAAAATGTCACTTAGAGAAGGATCTGACATATTTTCCTCAAAGCTTGAGTTTGTTTTATTCAGGATTGCTTTATTTGCCATTTTAATGTGCCGTAAGGGAATTTTCTAAAGGGAATCAGCCCTGAGTGCTTACTGGAAGGACAGATCCTGAAGCTGAGGCTCCAATACTCTGGCCACCTCATGAGAAGAGAAGACTCCCTGGAAAAGACCCTGATGTTGGGAAAGATGGAGGGCACAAGGAGAAGGGGACGACAGAGGACGAGATGGTTGGGCAGTGTTCTCGAAGCTACCAACATGAGTTTGACCAAACTGTGGGAGGCAGTGGAAGACAGGAGTGCCTGGCGTGCTCTGGTCCATGGGATCACGAAGAGTCGGACATGACTAAACGACCAAACAACAACAACGTGCTGTAAACTGCTTTGAGATTTGTTCTTTAAAATATATAGTGGTATAAAAATGAAATGAATACTACTACTAATATAAAGTCCTAGGAAGCTTGGGAAATAGATACCCGAAAAACTGCCTGCTCTCTTATACATCTGCCCAGACTTTAATATCACCAGGGGATATCCTTCTCACCTCCCCATGGTTCTCTGAGCTAAGATATGTGGCAACTTGTGAGAGGACCTTCTCAATAGTGGAACCCTTCTGAAATGCCCTCCTCACCTCAGGAACATGCAACACCAACACTAATGGAATTTGATGCATGGTGGACCATTTGATATAGCATCCTTTCTCACAGTGGCCAAACAGATGCTCTGGGGCAAGCCACCAAGCAAGACCAGAGAGCAACAGCACTTTCCCTTCAGGTACCAAGGAATTGGCATTCAGAAGCATACAGCCTCTGACTGTAGAGTGCCAGCACCTCATTCATTTATTCATTTTTACAAGAAGAGCACTGTGCACCAGGCTTTTAGAGCAGCAGAATTTTCTGATAACCAGGTATTTCATGTTGCTTCTATCTCTGTTACATCACATGCCACTCGCAGTGTGTGCAAATTCATCCGGACTGGGATGCATGCATTCATCGTTACCTATCGTGGAAGAATGGTTGTTAAAATTATTGGACTCCGCTGATATGGTGAAGCTGATGTGTTTCATCAGAGGAAAAAATCTTTGTCAATATTTACGAAAGATCGGAAACTTTTTGGGTGAAAAATAAACTTATGATATCTGGGTTTGACGATTGAAGAAAATAATTGGTTTATAGAAAGTAGAGTTGTTGGGGTGGATGTCTTGAATTATTTTTTACGTATAGCCAACAGACGAAGAATTGGAAGTTCTCTTTTTTTCTTTATTTCTCTGTCTACTTTCTTTTCCTCCTTTTGGTTCATGTTTTTATTTAAATTAGTTTTTTTATCTTTGATAAAAAGATATTGGATGTTTGATATTAACCTTGGTATATTTTATTTCAAACTTTAGTAAAATTTATTGGGGTAAAAAAGGCCTGGGAAGCAAGCAATTCAGGGTTGTTGTTTTAACCCTTCCCTGCCACTGTTTTCCCAGTGAGAATATCTCCCCTAGCAAGCTGGCTATATGCTCTGTGTTCCAAATCAGGGCTAGTGGACACAGTGACCTCTGGATGTTGTCAGACTTCAGTCCCCATCAGGTTGAGCCATCCTAGCCAGTGTCCATCAGTGATGCAAGTTGTAGTCCAACAACATCCGGCAGGCCCCCACCAATCACTTTTGTTCTAAATTAATGGGAAAACCACCTGTGGGATTTTCATAGCATGGTACACAGAAATGGGAAGATCTGTTCTGCATCAAACCAGAGCAACTCTCAGAGCATTCCCCTTGCTTTGCACCAAATTCCAGATGTTGCCAGAATTCCAGAAACTGGAACGATCCAATCCTGACACAGTTAGAGGACAACCTTTTGCTTACCATTGCAGGGGGCGAGCTTGCAAACCCTCACAGATTCTGGCTTCTCTCCATTGCATTGGTCGCCGGTGCGGCATAAGACTTGTCTGGACTCTGTTCCTTCACCGCAGGTCACAGAACACTATGGGCAAAAAGCAACAAGGAACTATGGATAAGAGAAACTACGGAGACTTCAGCACACATATCCTTAACCAAATGAGGAAGGGAGTTGCACAGGTGGCTGCATTGCTGCTGCTGGAGCTGGAAGGATGAAACTCTCTTTGAAAAGGCCAAAATCTGACCAGATTTGGGACTGCCCCTTTCCTCCTTTCCCAATAAATGACACATTGCCAGGTTTAACAGCTACCTCCAGCTGCTCCACAGGTAAAGCCAGATTGTGGCACTGATGCAATACTGTCTCTTGCCACCTTGTTAAACCAAAACCATTTGCCAAAATATGGACATGCATGACATTGCAAGAAGACCTTTAAAGGAAGGAGAAACATGCTCTGTTAACTCAGCATTACCCATCGACCATTCATTTGCTAGTAACTTCAACTTTCCCAATTCTTCTTCTACCCTGTGATTAGCCAGTGTTCAAATGGAAACTACAATTTCTGGCCTGTGCTATGCTTCAAAACAGCCATGCACGTTGATGGGCTCTATAACCACATTACCCCTGAGCCAAAATCTGTCCCTCAGTTTCTCAAAAGTTTTCCTCCTCTGCAAAAGAAGCTCTGCAGATCCCTAAGTGTGCCAGTGTCAGTTGGCATCGGTCGCTGTGATGTTCGGGCTGAAGAAAGCTTTGAAGCTCCTGAACGATCAACCAGGAGAGAGAGAACATGCCAGTCGGGCATGTGTCTTTGCCAGGGTCCTACTCGAGTGTAGGCTGAACTCCTGCAAGGGTTACCGGTTTGTTTTTGGTTTTATTAGCCATTTTGCTTTTTTTATCTTGTATTTTTATGTTGTGAACTGCCTTGAGATCTATGGATGAAGGGCAGTATACAAAATTAATTAAGAATAATTAAGAATAATTCATTATTTGGGGGAAGAAATCACCCACAGCCCACACAAAAGAGTGTTGCATCACCAGGATATTTTGGGGGGGGGGTTCATGAGGCTTCTAACTTAAACTCCTAGGGAAATCCCACGGGGGAGGGGGATCCCTGCCCAAAAGAACAGCCCAGTGATGGCAAAGCAAAATCAATGGACTGAATTTTATGGGAAAGGAAAAATAAGGGAGAAGGAAGAAATGCAGTGGAATGGCTGAGACCTTGAACTGATGCACTCCATGCTACAACATTTTGTTGGAGGGCCTGCTTGTCAATAACTTCTCTCCATTCTGGCAAAATGGAGTATACTGTAGGTGCCCTGGGCTTTTTAACCCAGAGGTGGGTTTTTTGGTTTTTTGCTACCTGTGCCCATAATGGTTGATGAAACACAGAAGACCCGCTTTGCTTACTGGACTCCAGGGCCAGGTTTTCCACTGAGCAGGGCACGGTGTCCTGTTGCATGGCCGACGGCTCTCAGGGCGATCCCCACTACAGTACTTGAAATGGACGGAGCGATTTGCACCATCGTGGAGAGGCTGGATGCAGCGCACGGTTCGGATCTGATAACCAGAGGTCCCACAGGTTTTGGTGCAATGCTCCCATTCTTCTGATACCCAGCTGAGATGGGGCAGAGAGAAGAACATTAAATAGGAATACACTAACTAGTGCAAAACACTCACTCTACCCAGGATTGATCTGCATGTGGCACAAATATTATCACCCTTGGCTGTCACTGTTGTAAGGAAACTAGGAAATCTAGCTTGCATCACCTGCAAAGATCTTCAGGCATCAACTTTAGACTTGGCTCTTTTAGAAAACCTTCTTGTGAAAATATTGGTCATGATTAGAACATTTTTGTCATCTGGACCATCTCGGAAGATGGTGCACCTTTCTTCATGGGGGGGGGGCATTAAACAGAGGTTAGATGGCCACCTGTCAAGGATGCTATAGTTGTGATTCCTTTTTTGCAGGGAGTTGGACTAGAAAACCCTTGGGTACTTTCCAACTCTATGATTCCATGATCCATATATGTATTTTTGTTTCTTTAATGTATTCTGCTCTTTTTTAATTTGTTAAGTTGTTTCAGTTTTAATTGAGCTTCTGGACACTGAATGATATGTTTTTGTATGAGTTTGCTGCATAGAAATCTAATAATGATAGTAGTCGATGTGTATATAACTGGATCCTACTCAGAGTAGACTCCTTGGAATTAATGAACATGGCTCTCTTAGGCCCAGTAATTTCAACAGGTCTACTCTGAGCAGGATTTAACAGGCAGGATGACAAGTTCTTTCTGTCACATAGATAAAGGCAGCAAACTTTCAGCCTAAATATGCAGAAACTTGAGGATGTGCAGGAGAGGCAGAAGGTTGCAAAGTGTGGTCTCCAATTCCAAAACAAAGCCTCCAAGACAGCAGGATTATAGCTATGGGGTTAGCACTTGATGTATTTCCTGTTGTCCGTAATATACTGCCTTGGTAAGTTGTGGGAAATCAACTAGCAGGACCTATCACTGAATCTGGCTGCCTATTGTTTCACTGAGGAGAGACCCTATGCCCACTTGGATGAAACTTTTTTGACCCCGCACTGCTGCTGCCAATAAATCACTGAAAAGGAGCAGATGCTTACAATGGCTGCGTACATTCCTGAAGGTTGCACATCCTACGAATGGGCTTGGGTTTTTTGCTGGCTTCACAGAAGCTGCGGTGAACCATTTTGCTATCACTCTTCCTGCGGCACCCGTACTTAGTGTCTTGGAAACCTGGGGATGGAAACCAAACAACAAATCAGGAAAGAAAGAAAAAACCCACATATACAATGCAAACACAATCAGCTCTCCAGTTTCATTCCAAGTGCAGAATTTGGTGCAGTTTTTAATTTATTACAGAAGATCACTGTGTTTTGGGCTTTGCAACTACTTTGGACTGAATCCAACAGAATCACAAGTGGAACCATTTCCCTCCCTCTCTCCCCCTCGTGTACCCCCCCAACTCTTTTTTTAAAAAAATTTAATCATTTTTTCAATACAAACAGCAACCACAAAAACCACATACAACAAAAACCACAATAACACTAATAACACAATTTAACAATTCAGATTTGAGTACTGACATACCTATAACTACACCTTTTTATCAATATTTCCCCACCTCTCCTCCTCCTACTTCCCACCACTTTCCGCTTTATCGCTTAACTATTCCTTCCAAATTTCTTCATATTTATCCAGTGGCGTAGCGTGGGTTGTCAGCACCCGGGGCAAGGCGCCCCCTAACCCATGGATTTGCGCCCCCTAACCCGTGGATTTGCGCCCCCTAACCCGTAGATTTGCCCTAACCCCAGATGTTGCGCCCGGTGCGGCCGGCCCCCCCTGCACCCCCCACGCTACGCCACTGTATTTATCCATTCTTAATTTGCATCGATATGCAATTCGTTCGTAAGTAACTAGTCTGTCCATATTGTCAATCCATGTGCTCAATGGGATCTTTTTGCGCCTCTTTTTGGGATGGTTGGGAGAAACTCCCAAAGTAGATTTGGTGTGGGTGGGGGCACACAGAGGGAGCAGAAGGAAGGGAGATTCCATTGCGTCAGTGGAAATTGTTCTGCTCACTCAGGGGTTCTGTCAAATACAACTCTTCATGAGCACAGCGGCGGAGCAAGCCGATCAGGCATCTGGGGTGGCACGCATGCTCTGCACCCAGGGGCGGGGCCAGCTGCCCACAGGGCAGGGCAAGCTGGGGCAGGATGCTCCGAGGAGTCTACCTACCTTCTCCCACTTAGCTGCCCTACAGCTGAGGGGGAGGCAACAGGCGGACTGTTTGGGGCAGTGCGGAGCCTGTGGGCACTCAAGCCACTGTGTCACTCCCAGGAGAGACGCATGGCTTGGGTGCGCTGCAGGCCCCATGCCACCCGGCATTTTGTCACCCCCCTCAGTGGTGACACCCAGGGTGGCCCGCCCCCAACACACACCCCTTCACCCCTGCATGTACGGGCACTAAAAAGACACATACAGTTCTCCAATATATTCTTCTACTCCCTCCCACCAGACAATATTATGACTTGCCTCCTCCACAAGGCTTGGAACATTGGGACCAACTCTTCAAAGCCCACTCAAACGTATCCAGGTCCTCTTGAAGTACGTTGTTGCTATTGACATTGGGGACCGAATCCTCGTGGATTATGTATTTGTATGTCAGGCTCGACTGTGTGATGTTGTCCCGAGGAATGATCTGCCAAAAGGTTGAGCAAATGGGACATAATGTCAGTAGATGGAAACATGGGCACTTCTTTCCTTTAGGAATTTCCTTTTCTTTTCAGAGCCATAAGAGAGGAAGATAACAGTATTTGCTGTATCTTAGCAGGTGATAAAAAACAACAATACCCAACTCAAAAGTTGATGGTTGCCCTGCTATTGTGGCTGGTAGTGTTGAGGGCAGTGTTTCCCCAACCTAATGCCCTCCTGATGTTAGTGGACTATAGCCTCCATCATCCCTGGTGATGGTTGTGCTGGCTGAGGCTGATGGGATATGTGTTATGAGTGTTGAGGAGATGTCTTGTTTGGGCTGGTCAGATCAGACTGAGAGGTGGGAGCAGCATGAGGAGTTGGAGGCTGACGACACTGGGGAGGGACCCAGTGGCCTAGAACAAGGTATGTTAGGGTCTTGTAAGATATCTGAGCTGCCTGGCGATGGTGGGGACACAGCCAATGAGCAGCATGATCTTGGAGAGGGACCTAGTGGGCTGTCACTCTTTCGTTCCATGCCAGTCCAGCCCACAACCCTGACACCAGCACCTGAGCTGCAGGAGCCTTCCCACAGGGGAGGCACCCCGTGCCAAGTCTGACTCTGAGCTGGTGCTGTTTCATCACCCATCGCTGGCCTGAACAGACAGCTCAGGCCCAGCCACCAGAAGCCGTTCCCATTCTCTTATGCAGTCCAAAGATGCTCCATGTTTGCCACACTAAAGCCCTTTCCACTTCACTCTTTTCTAATTGGAGTTAGAGGGCATTGCCAACTGTTGAATGGACTTCTTAGCTAGCCTAGCCATGCCTTGCACCTGCACTGACTTTGACCTCTCCTTTGCCTATGCACTGATTTGATCATTAGCATTTCTGGTAGGAACCACAATCTGCATAGAAGTCTGATGGGAGTCAGGATATTATGTACCATGTGGAGGTCAGTAGACTGAGTTCCAGGCTGGTTCCAGGCTGATGGGGCAGCCAGACCATTGAAAACATCCAGCTACAATCCAGGAGGGGAAGTCACAAATAAGGCTGGCCACAGAGCCTATGCAAATATCACACCCATAACTTCAAAGAAGGCACCTATAACCTATGCTTTCCCTACTGAGCATTCAGAAGTTTTCATGCAGACAGGCAATGGTGGCTCGAAGAAACTGCAGAGCTTCTGACTGCTTCTCTTCATGCACTGTTAAGGAAATATAATCTTTTCTGTACTAATTGTAACTGCTCCCTTCCTTTTCAGTCCTTACAGATTATTAGCCATTTTCAGATCCCCAATAAAAGTGAATGGGGAAGATAGAGCTTCATTTTACACAGCTGCATATTAGCCTAAAGAAACCCCACACAGAACTTTTCAAGGAGCAAGAATGATCAAAAAATATAATTATACGAAATATTCCAATCCCTGACTTCTTTCTTTGAAAGGAGCAGTGCCGGATTTATGTATAAACTAAACAAGCTATAGCTTAGGGCCTCACTCTCTTGGGGCCCCCAAATAATTTAAAGGAAAAAAAGTGGATGTACATTTCCAAAATATAAGATAAAATGGCTTTAGGTACCTATTAGGTCCATAAATTACCATATAGCATATATTCAACACAAAAAACAGTGACAATTTGTTGTTGACAAAGGACAGCTGGACATATAAAGGGCCCCATTACCTTTAGGAGCTTAGGGCCTCACCAAACCTAAATCTGACCCTGGATTGAAGTGTAGAGCATAAGATAACTCCGAAATAGACTGGAATATATGAAGGGCACAGAGATAGATACAAGGCACATCTTAGGTCCCATTCATGTTCACCCCAACTGTGTATGACTGATGGGTCGCCTCTAGTTTTGAAACTCACAATTTGGGCAAATCTACTCTGTCACAACCACGTGGCTATGTCCTTGTTGGTTTTGTGAGTGGATCTCCCAAGTTGATACTGCTTGGCCTGGAACAGGCCCTGTTGGTCACACCAGAAACAGAAAATGGATCATGACCTACCAACACAACAATAGCATCATACAATGGCCCATCCGTCTGAAGGGTTTCTATGTCATCTTCTATGTGGTACTCCCACTCTAAGCCGAGATCAATGAAGGAACGAGAGCCAGATCCCTCTCCTTTGCCATTCAAAATATAGTGACCCGTTGCCTGGTTCTTAACAGCTGGAAGGAATAAAAGCAGAAGTGGTGACTGATTAATCATTGCAATTACGGTAAATTGGGTGGGTGGCCATGTCTTCCTTAAAGACAATACAAAAGGCATTGGACCTTCATTTTGCATTATCTTGATGCCATGAAATTTAGGTTCTCGTTCAGCGATCCTGATAGGGCAGTGATGTGTTCTATTTTACAGAATGCAATCTATTTGATGACATCCTCTGTTTAAAGGGCTGCCCATTCCAAATCCATTTAAAGAACCTTAAGAAGGGAGATCAGGGACCTTGAAGTTGTCAAGCCACAGTTTGACTAGGGTCACCTGTCAAGTCTTTCCCCACTAGGCATATTTATTTCAATTATAGTAAATAGAATAAATGAAATTTAGCCTATACACAATTTGTGCAAATCTGTGTTTCCTCCTCCTCCTTTTGGTGACACTATCATTGTTTTATTGGCAATGAATAAGTGGCCACCCAAGACCCAGAGCTTCTCAGCTCTGCCTCCCGTTATCTAGTGCTTCTTTTTAGCTTTAATTCACCCCCGCCACTGTGTTCCATGAGCAATATGAAAGTAGCTGTAGCCTCTGCAGAGATGGTTTCTCTAGAGCTAATTTGGAAGAACAAAGCAGATTTAAAAAAATGTATAGCAAGGGCAGGTTGGGAGAAAATGAATGATAGCACATGCAACTAGAGGCTGGGGTGGGGCTGGCTTTAGAGTTATTTGAAGATAATCCAGAGATCAAAGAAAAAGTGGTTTTCACTGATACTAACTACGGTAATACCGTATTGGCCTGAATATAAGCCACACCTTTTTTTCTTCCAAATTCCAACTGTGAAAAGTTAAAGTGCGGCTTATATTTGGAGCCGCGCACTAGCGTTGGCATGGGGAGTGGGTGCTGAGCACCGGCCACCCCCCTGCCGCCGTTCAGGGCAGTAGTGCTGGGAGGCAGGCCACATCCACAAACAAGCCTTGAATTTTATTTGCGGGTGCGGCTTATAGTCGGGCCAATATGGTATTACTACATGGCACAAATGGTGGCTAAATTTTTTAAGAGCTTAGAATCTTGCTTGATCAGGCCAGTGGTCCATCAATTCTGGGCTGCATCAATAGGAGTATAGCATCTAGATCAAGGGAAGTAATAGTGCCACTGTATTCTGCTCTGGTCAGACCTCACCTGGAGTACTGTGTCCAGTTCTGGGCACCACAGTTCAAGGAGGACACTGACAAACTGGAACGTGTCCAGAGGAGGGCAACCAAAATGGTCAAAGGCCTGGAAACGATGCCTTATGAGGAACGGCTAAGGGAGCTGGGCATGTTTAGCCTGGAGAAGAGGAGGTTAAGGGGTGATATGATAGCCATGTTCAAATATATAAAAGGATGTCATATAGAGGAGGGAGAAAGGTTGTTTTCTGCTGCTCCAGAGAAGCGGACACGGAACAATGGATCCAAACTACAAGAAAGAAGATTCCACCTAAACATTAGGAAGAACTTCCTGACAGTAAGAGCTGTTCGACAGTGGAATTTGCTGCCAAGGAGTGTGGTGGAGTCTCCTTCTTTGGAGGTCTTTAAGCAGAGGCTTGACAACCATATGTCAGGAGTGCTCTGATGGTGTTTCCTGCTTGGCAGGGGGTTGGACTCGATGGCCCTTGTGGTCTATTCCAACTCTATGATTCTATGATTCTAAGTCTTGCAACCTGTTCTCACAGTGGCCAACCAGATACCTGCAGGAAACCTGCAAGCAAGACCCAAGCACAAGGGCACTCTTTCCTTCTGCAGTTTTCAGTAGCTTACTGCCTTCAGTCAGGCACACAGAGCACAGCCATCGTGGCTAGTAGCTATTGATAAGCCATTTGTCTCATACTCTTTGAAAGCCATCCATATTGGTAGCCATCACAAGAAGAGTTTGGATTTGATATCCCGCTTTATCACTACCCGAAGGAGTCTCAAAGCAGCTAGCATTCTCCTTTCCCTTCCTCCCCCACAACAAACACTCTGTGAGGTGAGTGGGGCTGAGAGACTTCAAAAAGTGTGACTAGCCCAAGGTCACCCAGCAGCTGCATGTGGAGGAGCGGCGATGCGAACCCGGTTCACCAGATTACGAGTCTACTGCTCTTAACCACTACACCACACTGGCTCTCTTGTGGGGGTGAGTCCCATGGTTCAACATACTTTTCAGGCTGAGGGCCAAATGTCAAGGGTAAAACCAAAGTGCATCTTACTCTTTTTCACATTTAATCGTAAATGTTAGACAGAATTAATAGTTATTCCCCCTCTTTCTCCCGTACGAAAAAACAATTTCACCATTAATTTCCACCCCTTTCCCCATTAAGCCTTTAAAAACTCATTTCACTATTAATTCCCCTATCCCCCATCACTCCACACTAAATTCATTTCATTATTACTCCTTGTTCATTTCATTCCACTATTAATATTCACCCCATTACTCCTTAATAACTTAATTTCATTATTAATTTCCACTCCCTGCCCCCATGACTCCCAGTTAAATTTGTTTCATTATTATTTTCAAGTGCATTCCCCCCTTAACTCCTTTTTCATTTCACTAGTTTAAACCCCATTGCCCAAGTTCCCCATTAATTTGATTAATGTTCCTTACTGCGTTTACAAGTTCTAATGTTTATTATGATTAACCATTATGATCATAGCTCAGTTGGCAGAGCATGAGACTCTTAATATCAGGGTTGTGGGTTTTGCCCTACATAGGGCAAAAATTGTTGGACTAGATGACCCTCAGGGTCCCTTCCAACTCTGCAATTCTATTATTCTATGTTTTTCTAAAGAGCTATTACATTGGCTGCCCTCTTTCTGCTACCCCTGTCAGCACTCAGATGTGAAAGAATAGCCCAACCTGGTGATAAAATACTGTAATGAATATTGGAGGAAGGGAGCTGCAGTCCGAGATAGGGAAAGAGGTGGTAATGTAACACCTAGATCCTTTAAATGAGGTGAAATTATTGCCATCTTCAAATATATTAAGGGCTGTCAGATGTAGGAAGCTAGTTTTACACTGCTCCAATGGGCGACTCAAACCAATGGATTCAATTTACAAGAAAGGAGATGCTGAAGAAATATTAGGAAGGACTTTCTGACAGTAAGAGCTGTTTGACAGTGGAATGGATTGCCTTGAAAGGTGGTAGACTCTCCTTCCTTGGTGTCTTCTAAGCAGAGGTTATGTGGCCATCTGTCATGGATGCTTTAGTTGAGATTACTGCATTGCAGAGGGTTAGACTGTATGACCCTCACAGTCCCTTCCAACTCTACAATTCCATGATCGGGAACATTCTGTAGCTTTTGGAGATCAGATCAGATCTCTTTTACAGTGAAGCTATAGGAAAGAAAGATGCAGATTGCTGAGTGGAGGGTGGGTCCCACTGTTAGAATTCCTGCTCCGTGATTGCAGTCATGGGATTTTTGTCTTTCACATGACGGTTGTATGTTTTGACTCCACAGAGTGGGATGTGACGGAAACAGGATGTTTGTGTTACTGTGTTCCATGAAATGGAACTATTGTCTTTTGTTTTTTCTCTTTGCTGTCTGATGCTAGAGAGAGAGGGAGCCATGTTGCAGTGCTCCGTGTGTGTTCATATGTAAATAAAGTAGATTAGCCAAAATGCTAAGGTCTGTCACGCGAACTGCACAGACTCTGCGGATCCTTAAGTGTGCCGGTATCGGTTGGCATTGGTCACTGTGATATTCGGGCAGAAGAAAGCTTTTGAAGCTCCCGAACGAATGACCAGGAGGGAGGGAACATGCCAGTCAGGCATGTGTCTCTGCCAGGGTCCTACTCGAGTGTAGGCTGAGCTCCTGACACCCACCAGCTCCAGTCTCGATTCCACCAAGCTCACCTCCTGCCTTCTTCCTTGCAACCAGACCATGGGGTGACCCTGGCTGACAGCTTCATCCTCCTTAACCTTGCAGAACTTATCAGGGAAGAGGCTGGAGACGACAAACACTAGATTTAGTTGATTCTGCCCATCACTGGCTCTCTGGCTCCCCGCTGTCCTCCCTATCAGTACCAACTGGTACCAGACACCACTGCTGATGCAGAAATTCTTTCAATGTGCATGAGGTGGTGGGACGACTCTGGGGGCACTTTCCAGCAGTTTGGGGGCACGCACAGCGATATTTGCAGCAGTTATTTTGTAGCAATGTAAGTGGGGAAAGTGGCCCATTGGGAAACAGGCTGATAAAAATAATAAAATCTGCTGCTGCAAAAAACAGAAATAGAAATGGAGGTGTCCTCAGGGACTATGGTAAACCTTTGAGAAGAGGTTTATTCAGATTGAGTGCATCCCAAGTGTTTAAGCGCTTCAAATGCATTATTGCAGCATTCATTACAACAAGCTTTATGACAGGCCAGGAGGACTTCCATTCCCATATTGCAAATGTGCAGATTAAGGCTGAAAGAATAGTAGCTTGGTCTGCCCACCTAGGGATTTGAACCGGAGACTTCCAGGCTCACAGCTCACCATTATACAAGCCAATGCAAATTTATTCAGAAGTCCCGCTGAATTAAATGCCACTGATTTGCAAACTTGCATACGATTGCGATCTATGCCAGATCCCTAACATGGAACACCCTATTTCCTGCTGCTCATTTGGATCAACCAGTTGATTGTCCATCTCTGCAGACTTGATCAAGTCAAGGGTAACCAAACCAGGAGAGATACATCACATCCATAATAAGGTAAAGGTAAAGGACCCGTGACAGTTAAGTCCAGTCGCAAACGACTCTGGGATTGTGGCTCTCATCTTGCTTTACAGGCCGAGGGAGCCGACATTTGTCCACAGACAGTTTTTCCGGGTCATGTGGCCAGCATGGCTGAGCAGCGTCTGGTGAAACCAGAGCAGTGCACGGAAACGCTGTTTACCATCCCACCGGAGCGGTACCTATTTATCTACTTGCACTTTGACGCGCTTTCGAACTGCTAGGTTGTCAGGAGCTTGGACCGAGGAACGGGAGCCCACCCCGTCACGGGGATTCGAACCGCCGACCTTCTGATCAGCAAGTCCTAGGCTCTGTGGTTTAACCCAAAGCAGCACCCGCATCCCTATCACATCCATACCAAACATTTGAAGTACAATTAGGACACATTTAAGCTATATGCCTTCACTAAAAAAAATCCTGGGTTCTATAGCTTGTGAAGGATTCTGGGAACCTGTAGCTCTGTGAGGTATAAGCTACAGTTTCCAGTTTTTTTTGGGGGGGGGTGGTGAATGCATGTTCTTTAAATGAATAGTGTGCATCTCTGGGGGCTTAATGGGTTCTGGAAAGGTGCTGGCATGAAGTCTTTCTACCACCCTGTCACCCCTACTTCCCGAGGGATCAGCTTTCCTGGCTCCTCAGTTTTCTTACAGCTTCATGACTTCTGCATGACAAATTGATATAGCTCCTCATTCATCTCCAATTCTGTTGAATAATGATATTATAAAATGGCTAAGCTATTTATTTTGTCGTCTCTTCCTTACATGCTTTCAAGATGAGGCCCACCACTTAGTTTAATCGCCTCCCATCTGTGGATTCTTTGATTGCTCATCCTCCTAAAATATGCCATTACAGTGAATATCAGCAAATCAACAGTGGACTGAGAGAGAACATCAGCTTTAAAAGAGCTCATATAATGACTATCTGCACCAAAGGAGCATCTTATTGATTTCTCAAGGACCAGCTATTATTTCTTTGAGGGGTTTAGATTGCAGATGGCCGGCAAATCATCTGAAATTATTGGACTTGGAAAAAGGAACTGATTCCTCCTGACTGATATTTTTAAATACATGGCAACGTTCTGAGACACAAATGTTGGGAAGGTGAATGATGTACTTTTCTAAAGCTCAAAAGCACTAGCTGCAACTGCACAATATTACCGACGCCTCAGAATGTAAACTTTTGAATGGAAACATGGGGGGGGGGGAGAGATGGCGGCATGACTCTGTTGATCAAATACCACCTTAAGTGATATAATTCTGAAAAGCTAAATTGTGTCTGCATACTCAATACATCAGACAGAAATGGATTTGAAAAAGCTCAGTTTAAAATAATAACAAGAACACCCACAACAAAATCGGTAGCAAATGAAGCACCACCTTGTAAATGCATAGCCATGTATTAAGAGAGACCAAACTACTTTGAGTAGCAGTTCCTCCAGTCTTTCATTTGCATAACCTTTGCTTAAAAACCTCCAAGGAAGAAGAGTCCACAACCTCCTGAGGAAGTCCGTTTTACTGTCAAACAGCTCTTACTGTCAGAAAACTCTTCCTGATGTTTAGTCGGAATCTCCTTCCTATCATAGTTAGTGACTTATGTGAAGCAGAAATTGACAGGGCCAGGCCAAGCTCAACCAAATGTTTTTAAGCTTCAGTTTTTGGCCAGATTCACTTGCCTGCTCAAACGAAGGAAAGCTGGGTTCATGACGGAATATAAACTCAGCAGGGAGCTGCATCCATTTCTAGCTCTCTGATTCAGGTTACTAAACATCTTTGCCTCATTCACACATTACATTTCTTTGGTCTACTCTTCAAGCATCTTAGATGTACACCCAGACAGATGGGATGCAGCAACTGTGATAAAGCAAAGGAGGTCTGGTTCTGTTCAGCGCATGGAGGTTGAAAGATTCAGGACAGACTGGAAAGAAGTGCTTCTAAACACTTTGCATCATTAAACGATGGATGTTTGCTCCCACAAGAAGTGGCGATGACTACCAACTTGGATGTTTGTGAAACAGGACCAGACAATGGCTACTAGCCACAATAGGGTTGTTCAACATCCACTGTTGAACAGTAGGCTTAAGAATACCAGAAGCTGGAATTCACAAATGAGGAGAACACCCAGGTCCTTCTTGTGAGCTTCCCATGGGCATCTGGTTGGTTATTGTTAGGGATTGGTCTGAAGACGAGGACTGGGGAATACGTTCTTTGGCAGACCAGCTTCTCTCCGATGGAGAGATGGAAGGGGAAGAGTCCCCCCCTCTCATCCACAGTGTGTTCAGAAGCAGAGAGAGAGAGAGAAGCTGAACAGTTTAGGGAGGAGTTACCCACTTTTGAGATAATGACAAGAGAACCAGAAGGGAGGGGGCAGCGACTTGAGATGTCACTTGGGAGTGTGGGAGGGACCCCCCCCCTCACCACAGACTCAGAGGTTCAAACTTATCAGGGAGCAAAGGAGTCAGAGGGAGGGAGGAACTTCTTGCTGGCACCCAAAATGCTGCGGAAGTTGGGAGGAGGATTTAGAGTAGCCAACTGCCCTCCAGTTGTCTAAATTACCCACATACTGCCCTCCACACTGTAGACAGTGTGGTGTAATGGTTAAGAGCAGTAGTCTCATAATCCGCTCCATCACATGCAGCTGCTGGGTGACCTTGGGCTAGTCACACTTCTCTGAAGTCTCTTAGCCTCACTCACCTCACAGAGTGTTTGTTGTGGGGGAGGAAGGGAAAGGAGAATGTTAGCTGCTTTGAGACTCCTTAGGGTAGTGATAAAGCGGGATATCAAATCCAAACTCCTCCTCTTCTTCTCCTCCTCCTCCTTGCAGAGAGCTGTGTATTTGTGCTCGCAACATGATGCTGCAATAACGATGCTATAAATTTCTCAAACGCTTCTTAATTCTTATCTGTGAAGTTACCGAAGGGAGATGAGTACTCTCCATGCCTGACAGTTATTGTGAGAACAGGATTCTGGATCCATCAGGTCTCTTCTTATGTTTTTAACTCTTCCCTGTGCTGAATTGAGTTTCCAGGGGTTATAAAAGTGATAATGAAACACAATGTCAAGTGAATTGCTCCATGACCTGAACCACAGGATGTACCACTCAGATTCCCCAAGTGACCAGGGTAATGTCTGCAATGGTCCTGCTGGGCATCTTCTGGAAAGGGCATCTTCTGGAAAGTGGTGTTAGATCTATCAGAGTTGTTGGCAGCATGGTCAAACCTAAGCAGAGAAGCACTTACCAAGAATGTGAGGGGTAGCCTCGTCTTCTTGGACAGACACATGTCTAGCACCTGGAGGGATGTCAAACATCTTAAGGTAGCCTTTGGCATGTGCAGCAAGGCAGCAAGGCATTGGGAGGAGGCAGAAGAGAAACAAAAGGAGAGAGAGAAAAATAATTGCTAGGGTTAGTAGGTTGCAAGAAGAGGTTGGCCCCATTTGCAGAAGAGGTGCATCCATAAACTCATGAACAGTCAACTTAAGGACCAGGAGGTTTGCAATATTGGCGATTAGGCAGCCTTGCATTTCCCATATTTTCATGAAAGAGGAGGGGAAAGGCAATCTTATTGCAAGCCACTTACTTCATTTTGTTCTCTGGCGAACCAAAGCAATCTGAGTAATTTAGACAAAGCATTTTTGTTTCCTACTGTATGTTTTGTGGAATGAAAATAGCAGGGTACAGGGGTCATCTACCCCTGTTACCATCTGTCAGTTAGATCCTTTCCAGAATAATAAATACATATTGTTAAGAGTTCATTTCTTCCCCAGTGGTTGAGATCAGGCCAGTGGGCCATTTTGTGGAAGCACAGAAGCTGCTGTCGCAAGCCAAATTCATCACCCTAAAAATTTCAGCTTACTGTTTGACACACTTCAGTGACTATAGTTCATGGTCAGAATATTGTCAGCTTTCAAGAAGCTCCCACTGGAAGCATAAAATGATTTGCCTGAGTTTGCTTTTCCTGTAAGTGACTGGTCAGCAATTAGAAGTAATGCAAGAAGAAAAAATGGTTCTGCGGTGGCTATGGATGCCCAAATTTCTGCAAAGAGTCAAAACTTACCCAGAATATTTTTAGATTCTCTGTTTTCAGAAACAGAAACATCACGAGCTCCTTTAGGCAAAGTGAACGCGCCTCTTGTCTTCCCTTAAACAGAATGTCTTTTGTTAGTAATTTAGGGCATGGAAGTCTTGAGTTTTCATTGACTGAGTCTTCATACGAGCACTTTTTTTTTTAATCAATCAAGCATGAATCAGTTCTGTTCAAAATTCAGTTTGAAAGATTTTTGCACACATTGCAGCAGTTCTTTTTTTACTTAAAAGCATCAAGTCAATGAAAATTAAGACTGTGAAAAATCAATTGGATACTTGCAGATTTCATTTTCCAGAACCTTGAGTTCATTTTGGCACCTCTTGCTTAATTGTTTCCCTGTTGGAAGAGGTTGATTAGATTTGTTTCTTGCAATGCCAAACAAAAATGGAATCTAATGATAAATAATTGTGAAACATGATTGTGGAATGGAAAATCAATGCTTCAAACACCTCCCCAAGGACAAAGATCATCCTCAAACACCAGCTAACAGGATTTTCTGCATTTGCTAGCTTTGCAAATGCTTCAACTGGTGTCCTGAACTTACCGCAAAATGTCTTGGATATATTCAAAATAAATAAATAAATAAAAATAATTGAAGCATGGCATGCTGTTGTGCTGTGGATCATTCAAAAGCTCAGTTTAAAGGTCTGCAAATCAGTTTGAAATTTCCATTTCCAGTTGACTTCAAGTGGTTGCACGAAAGGACTCCAAATAGTTGTGTGGACTGGAATCAGTTTAACACTGATGTTGGACTTCAATAGCTTCAGTCTGGATGACCAATAGTCAGGTAGGATGGTAGCTAAGAGCCCAACAACATCTAAAGGGTTACAGGCTGGCTGCCCTGCTGTGACTCGTATTAAACCAATTCCAGTCCACACGAATATTTGAAGTCAGTTCATGTGAACATTTGGAATCATGGTCAAAGCACTTCATCTTGAGGTGCTTTCAGCACCTTTTCTCCTCTGCAGAGGTGAGGGACAGCAATGGAAACTAATGGTAATATGGAAGAGTCATGGAGGTAGAGGTATCCCTACCAGGTTTCTTAGGGATTCTAGTGAAGGTCCCTTTGATCGTCCGGCAGTGAGAGTTATCTCCCCCGCATACTCCACACTTGTCTTCAGCTTTGTTGGACCCGATTTCCTTGTCGCAGCCCACTTTCTGCAAAAAGAGACAGTCACCGTATCATCAGAGCAGAGAATCAGAGGAAGCATTGTTTGGAAATGAACAGAATCAAATGCACAGGTCAAATTTGCAACTCCTAATATCCCCCCCCCCCAATGAAACTGCAGGTGTTATATATGCTCCATAACAGCAGGTTTTGATACCAAGCATCTAATACAGTTTCTGGCAGATCTTTGCATTTATCACCCAAAAAGAAGAGGAAGTGGGGAGCAAGTTTCTGGTTCAGTGGTTGGGAACCTTCAGCCATGAAGTCTAATTAGGCCCACCCTTTGGCCCATGAGCCTATTTCAGTCAAGACATGCCGACCTGCTTTGCAGGTTTGATGGGCAAAAATGTAGCTGGGCTAAAAAGGGGTTTGCAGGCCCAAGGTACTTTGCACTGGGCTTTCAAAGCACCAATTAATGGCTTTGCAAGCACCAGCAGAGGATGTCATTGTGGTGTCAGGTGATTGAAAGGTGAGGGGCTCCACCCACCTATCAAACCTGGCCCATGAGGGGTGGGGAGATATGGATTCAGGCCCCCAGCTGGATTCAATTCTCCATGCCTGCTCTAGTTTATATGGCCGAGTAAACTTCAGGGACTCAAAAGCAATTTTGGCAGTTCAGGAGTTACTCTTCACAACTTACGGCGTCCATTCATGACTTGCAGAAGCCAGGCAAATTCTGGCCTTGCAGAATATACTTATGCAGATTGTGGAATTCCACATTTCCTGGCAAAGAATTTTTGGAATCTGTGCAGAATTTTGAAGTCATTTTCTTCAATGGGTTGCATCTCAGGCATAACCATTGGAAGTTTTAAGCAGAGAAGCTGGCAAAATTCTTCCAGCTCAGGGCCTCAATGAGTTTCAGGTACTTGGTAATGCTTGCTTCAAAGGAGAAGTGAGCATCAGAAACTCCCATGTTCTTCTCCAGATCAGATTAAAATCCAAGCTGGAGGAGATTTCCTGCCTATCCCTCTTTGATAAGCACCTCACCAATGCTGGGGGGCGGTGGATCAAAATCTACCTGCTTCAGGGGGCCACCTTATCTCAGACCAAAATTTTCTGGGGTCAGCTCTTCAAAGCACTTCCGTTGCTTCTCTACTGCTTTGCTAAGGGGCTGCTTTGCAGAGCTACCCCCAGAAAAATGAGAGGAGCTGAGCTTTAGACCCCCATCCCCAGAAATGTCAGGAGCAACTCTTCAATGCAAAGCTGTAACAAAGAAACGCACAGGGAGAAAAACACTGCTGGCAACTGAACATGAGACCTTCTCTCATAAAAGAATTTGGTCCTTCACCCTCTCCAATTAAAAGTCACACCATGTTTATGTGACAACAGCCGCACAGATGTTACTAGCCCAGAGATCGAAAGAAGAAAGAGTCCCTGTCAGAGAGGAATGGCAAACTAAGCTGATGGACTACACCGAAATGGCAAAGCTGACTGGAAAGCTCAGGAAGCAAGAGGACAAAAACTTTTTTAAAGAATGGGGAAAAAATATAATTTATTTAGGAGACCACTGTAAGCAGATGAGAACATTGGTGTTGTTGTTGTTTAGTCGTTTAGTCGTGTCTGACTCTTTGTGACCCCATGGACTAGAGCACGCCAGGCACTCCTGTCTTCCACTGCCTCCCGCAGTGATTTTTAGGGTTAGGGTTAACGTAACAAACACTATGGATAATGTGGATGGATACAAAATATAGATTACGAAATTATACGCAGTTGAAAATGTTGACAATAGGACCCATGGAGGGGATGGGGGGAAGTCTCTAGATTAAGAGAAATCTCTTTATATGGATATGTATTTGGTATTATTATAAACTTGTATTTGTAAAACCAAATAAATTGATTTTAAAAAAGAAGTCACACCATGTATATTCCATGTATATTTGGCTGAACGCATCTTACAAGGTCTTTTGTGTACAGCTCCAGCTAGAAAGAGCAACTGGGATGGTCAGGAAGACCTCACTCACCACACATTCCCCACGCACACAGATGCTGAAGGGGTCTTTGTATGAACAGCGAGTCCCATCATGGGTGAGTTGTTTCATGTAGGCAACATCTCCTGTCTCTCTGGATTGGCAGTAGAGTTGGCATCTTTTGGTAGCTACACAGTGTAGAAATGTGAACAAAATATGTGTCCAAACCCATGAACAATTGTTGGATTACACAAGCAGCACAGACCACATTCACATCAATCCTTCAAACCACTTTAAACCATCATGGCTTTCCTCAAAGAATTATGGGAGATGCAGTTTGTCGATGGTGTTGACAGTTGTTAGGAGACCCTTTTTCTCCTCCCAGAGCTACAATTCCCAAGGTGGTTTAACATCAATCCCTCTGGCCCTGATTCAGTTTTGGACCCAAAATCATGGCCAGGTCAGATCAAGGCCCAATCAGGAAATGAGCCCTGATACTGAAATGAGTCCTGGACTGAACCAGAAGGCACCTAATATAAATACAATTACATTAATACCTTGGAAGTCAAAGAGAATTCATTCCAGAAGTCTGTTCGACTTCCAAAACGTTCAAAAACCAAATAACGGTTTCTGATTGGCTGCAGGAAGCTCCTGAAGCCAATCGGAAGCCGCGGAAGCCCCACTGGACGCTTGGCTTCCAAAAGAACATTTGAAAACTGGAACACTCACTTCCGGGTTCTGATCATTCGGGAGCCAAAACGTTTGAGAACTAGGCTGTTCGAAAACCAAGATAAGACTGTATTGAACAGCCCTAATATAAATACAATAAATGACTAAAGCTACCTTTCTAGCTGTCTCTCTATCATCTCCCTATTCTTAGCTTCCTGAGCACGCTTAGTTGTCAGAGAAGCTATGAAGGGTCACTATGAAAGCCTCTTTTAGGCCAGGCTCATCATTAATCAAAGGAAATCAATCTGTACTACACGAGAGACTCTGTCGAGTTGATAGAATAAAGTTCTAACAAAATTTCTTCCTTAGTTATATTTAACCAGTCACTGCGTTTTGTAATAGTTCTGGTTATTAGGGCTCAAGAGAAGAATTTATTATTGAGAAGTGGCTTTTTGATGGCTTCCCTACTGGAGGGCAAAGAGTTAGTGAGGGGAATGAGCAATGCACATCTGCTATTTGTTCTTCTTTCCCAACTCCTTTGCAGCGTTTGAAACAGTTCTTTGCAGAAGAGGACTGGCCATCACTTACCATCAGGATGTTCATAAGGCAGCCAGTGGTGTTTACTGCTCTGGTACTCAAAATGTGAGTTGCGTTGTTGACACTGCTGGGCACGGAAGTCTTCGTGATGCTTTGGGCATTCCTCCATGTTGCACAGCTGGTACTCAAAGTTGACGCCGGCACAGTCCTGACCCCCGTTAAGAGGCCTTAATGGGGAGAAACGAGGCCCAATTAGAATGCTTGAAGGTACCTTTTATCATATGTGACGGATTTGTAAGGTGATAAAAGCTTTCTGAGAGATGATATATAATGAAATGGGGGGACATGTTTAAAATAACTTTTGTTAAGAAACCAGAAGCTTTCTTATTAGGAATTTCAGGTACCAATATTCCAAAGGAACGGAAAAAACTTTTCATGTATGGAACAACAGCAGCCCAGATGTTACTAGCCCAGAGATGGAAAGAAGACAAGGTCCCTACCAGAGAGTAATGGCAAACCAGGTTGATGGACTGTGCTGAAATGGCAAAACTGACTGGAAAACTCAGAAACCAAGAGGACAAAAACTTTATAGAAGAATGGGAAATTTTTTATAAGTTATTTAGGAGACCACTGTGAGCAGATAGAAACATGGGCATGATTTTGAATTCACTTGTAGTGTAACAGTTACCATGGATAATATGGATCGATATGAAAGTTAGAGTATGGAAGAATATGCAGTTCTAAATGTTCAAAATGGGACCCTATGGAGGGGATGGGGGGAAGTCCTGAGATTCGGAGGAATCTCTGTATATGGATATATATTTGGATTTTTATAACTTTGCATTTGTGAAACCAAATAACAATGATTTCAAAGAAAGAGAAAAGAATGCTTGGGGGTGCGACTAAGCTGGATCAGATTCCAGATCCCAATTTCTCCCCTTCCAGACCACAAACCCCATTGATCCATCTCTACACTTATCTGACTTTTGACCTAGGCAGTCCTGAGTTGTTGTTTTCTTTCGAGCCACTGGCTATAGTGTTCCCCAGAGGGCACCCTCCTTATATCCACCCCAAGATGTTGTGCGTGCAAAAGGTCGCGGGAGAAGCTCCGCCGACTCACGCAGGATTGTTGCACAGTCTCGTTCTGAAGCGAACGCCGGTTCCGCATGTCCGAGAGCAGGAGCCGAATTTCGTCCAGGCTCCCCAGCTGCCATCTTGCTTCAGCTGGTTGGTGTTTTTCCACATGCAGTGACCTTTGTAGCACCACTAAGGGTAAAATGAGAAATGACAAACACACAAAAATTAGACCCTCTGGAGTCCCCTGATCTCTTCACCTGAACTTCTTATTTTAATTGTTCATATCAGAAGAGCATTGCTGGGTCAGGCCAGCGACCCATCTAGTCCAGAATTCTGACAGTGGCCAGACAGATGTCTATGAGAAACCTGTGAACAGGATCCGAGCACAAGAGGACTTTCCCATCCTGTGGTCTCTAGCAACTGATATTCAGAAACATTGCTGTCTCAAATGCTGTCTCCACAATGGCATAGCCATTGTGGCTTGCAAGTTATCCCAAGCCCTCTCCTTCATGATTTTGTCTAAGCCTCTATATTTTAATGTATCAATGAAATTGCTTCACTGTTTTTCCCCTATTAGTATAACTGAGTTTGTACTTAATTAATAATTAACTAACAGTCAATTAATTACCCCAGCCCATGCCTTCATGGTAGGATCTCTATCGGTGGTCTCCCATGGTTCAGATGCATGGGTCAGACTCATTAGGAGCTGTACCTTCATTACTGGGGGCCTAATTCTGTTTAAAACCCACACATACAGTAGTTGAAATCAAACAGATCTGCGCCCATTGGTGAAGATCATTCTCCCCCCCCCAGGAAGCATTTTAAGAAAGCTTTTCTGATTTGGTGGTTAGTTGTAACAGATTTTATCCTTTGTATCTGTTCGGTAACCTCACTGTAAGCCACTGAAAATAATAATAATAATAATAATAATAATAATAATAATAATAATAATAATAATAATATATTATTTATACCCCGGCCATCTGGCTGGGTTTCCCCAGCCACTCTGGGCAGCTTCCAACAGAATATTAAAATACAATAGTCTATTAAACATTAAAAGCTTCCCTAGACAGCTGCTGTGGTGTATAAGGAGTTGGAAATAAATCAAATCACCTCTGCATCTCTCTGCCTTGAAATGTATTGGGACATGTAAACTTGAAGATACATACTCACTTTACTGGGCGCACATTCCGTTCCGTCCAGTGGGGGGCCCTTCTTTGTCTTGCAGAAGTAGGGGTTGTCTGGATGGCTGCACCACAACTGTTTACACGGGTCGAAAGTTCGGAACTAGAAAAAGGGAGACACCTGAATAAGTTTTTCATCTCACAGAATTATAGTATTCTAGAGTTGGAAGGGACCCCAAGAGTGGTCTTGTTCAACCCCCTGCAATGCAGGAGCCACAACTAAAGTACAGCAGTACCTTGGGTTAAGTACTTAATTCATTCTGGAGGTCCGTTCTTAACCTGAAACTGTTCTTAACCTGAAGCACCACTTTAGCTAATGGGGCCTCCTGCTGCTGCCGCGCCACTGCTGTGTGATTTCTGTTCTCATCCTGAAGCAAAGTTCTTAACCTGAAGCACTATTTCTAGGTTAGCGGAGTCTGTAACCTGAAGTGTATGTAACCTGAAGCGTATGTAACCTGAGGTACCACTGTATTAACCTAGTGAATGAACACACAACCTTTGGACTGGTTTTACTTTCTAGAATTCGCTTTGGACATACCGCTGTGCACATTTTGTAGCCCACTCCAAAATCAAAACGGCACTGTTCATCCATGGAATAATTGATCCCCGGCAGGTCAGGAAGTTTGGGCCAGTCGTGTTCAAAGGGATCATCGAGGAGGCAGTCGTAGGAGCTATTGCAGAAACGAAGGAGAAGAGAGTCAACTGCTGGATATGCATAAGCCACAGCTCATAACAGAGGGCCTTCTCGGTGGTGGCGCCTGCCCTGTGAAATGCCCTCCCATCAGATGTCAAGGAAATAAACAACTATCTGACTTTTAGAAGACATCTGAAAGAAGCCCGATTTAGGGAAGTTTTTAATGTTTGATGTTTTATGGTGTTTTTAATGTTCTGTTGGGAGCTGCCCAGAGTGGCTGGGGTATAAATATATTATTATTATTATTATTATTATTATTATTATTATTATTATTATTATTATTATTATATTTAATTCCACGGAGTTTAAGTAAGGAGGGCATTCCTTATCCACAGCCCATCGTTCAATCTGTTTAGTGGTTCTCAACCTGTGGGTCTCCAGATGTTGTTGGACTACAACTCCCATCATCCCTGAACTCTGGCCTTGCTAGATAGGGGTGATGGGACTTGTAGTTCAACAACATCTGGAGACCCACAGGTTGAGAAAGGCTGGACAGCATCAAGTAAGTGACAACGGAGATTCTTTCTGCCTATGAACACATGGTGACCAACACCAGAGGGCACTGCAGGGCCGATAAACTTTTGAGCAAACATATTCAGTTCAAATGCACTGGGATTGCAGAACTTGAGTTTATCAGTGCTGGCAACAGCAGTTCTTGAATTAAAGATACTGGTGGTTCTTGCCCTGCAAAGAGTAAACATTCCCCTGTTTGCCTTATTGTGTTTGGGATCTCTTAGGCTGATTTGCAAGAGGGCTGGTAGGCCCTTCAGATTGTTTGCTCTCTCCCAATTGCTGTTTCCAGTCAGCCACCCCATTCCCCAGTTCACTAAGCCCTCTAACTCTGAGACTGATAGTAACAGAAGGGCATGTCTGCGACAACTGATGTTATTGAAGGACACATTTCTTAATGCTCATGTAAAATACAAGGGAGGAGGGAGGAGAATAAAGGTTCATTGGTGGTGGTGGTGGAGAAGGGGATCAGTTCCCAAAGACAAAAGGATCCCAATTGATTGGGCTCATAATAAACCAGGGGTGGCTAATCTGTAGTCCTGCAGATGTTGCTGAACTACAACTCCCATGAGCCCCAGTCAGCATGCCTAACATTGGGGGTGATGGGAGATGCAGTTCAGCAACATCTGGAAAGCCACAGTTAAGCCACCCCTGGAATATCAAACAAGGCATTTTCCATGAGGAGCTGCCCCACCACTATCCACCCCAAAACATCAGTAACAACTGTTGCATCAGGTGCTTTGCTATTGACCTTTAAAAATGCATTAACTGCTTCTCAAAATTTGAATAATGAATCTCCATATCTGTGCACCAACAGCCGTTGCTGTGAGTCACTATGAAGGAAGAGAGGGCCAGGGTTGTTCTACTTGGTCCTGCTGTTGACCTGCCTTCTGCAACCCACTGTTTCCTCCTGATTCAGTTCTTAAAGCTTCCAAGCCAGATCTGAGACTTTGCCTGGACACTAGCCAAACTTTGGTTTTCCTCATGTGCACTCCCTAGTCTTGCTCCAGGTATTTAGTGCCTGTTCATACACCATATGTTGGTCCTTACTGTATGTATCTTTTGACTTCTTGGCCACTGCATCGGGACCAGTGGTATCGATGGAACGCTGCTTGCACCAGGGGAGCCATGACACTCCCCATTGCTGTCTCATCCCCACACCGGTTCCCTTGTCCGTCATGCTCCATTCCCAACCTGAAATCAGAGATCAGCATGATGGAATTAATTGGGGCCAAGAGTGGAGAAGGATGAAACCATCTTACACATATAAAGTGACTTATATCAGCTTCTCTTTTACTCTGATAAATTTTACCCGGCTGGTCTAGGTAGCTCAAGGATGGAGAGCCCTGTGGCTTTCCAGATTCTGCAGGACAAATATTCCCATCATCCTTGACCATTGGTCATGCTGAGCTGGGCTTATGGGAGCCGGAGCTCAACAATATCTGCAGGACTACACATCTCAACCGTTCTCAAGCTCCTTCAGTTCCAGGTTTTCTAGAAGGGAAAGCATGACAGCCATTGCAATCTGAATTTCACAGACCCAGACCCATCATTAGTACTCCATTGCAATTGAAAACCAGGGTCTGTGTTGTACTGCTTTAGACAGACATTTGGAAGGCTAGTCTAGGATCCTTCTCCCTGAACACCAGTGGGTGGTTCATTAGGGTGCAAGAAGCATTGTCCTACCAGCCTCAGTCTGCCCCAGCTGCTAACCCCCAGGGGTGAGGAACATTTTTGGCCTCACAGATCCTTTTTTTACTTCTCCCTCTTCTTCCCAAGAGGACTAACTTTGACAGGTGGATGGCTGGATGTCATTGTGACATCAGATGACTGATAGGTGGGCATCCTGGTAGGTGGGAGGGTCTGCTTCACCATCACATTCTCTGCAAGGAACATGACGGTGAAGCAGCACCCAGTAGGAATATAACCCTCCCATAAATGATGCCAGCTGATGAGCAGTTTGGTGTGGTTGGAGGGAAATGGCCTTCCTGGCCAACTTGGACACCCTGGTGAGCCAAGACTGGCCAGTAGATCAGAGATTCCCTAGCATAAGGACATAAGAAGGACCCTATTGGATTTCATCTAGTCCTGCATCTTTCTTCTCCTAGTGGTCAACCAGATTTCCATGGGAAGACCACAAGGAGGACCCGAGCGCTCCTTGCCCTTGTGATTCCCAACAACTGGAATTCAGAGGCATCCTGCCTCCAACTTACGGGCATCCGGAAGCATACTACTGAGACTTACACGTGGCCAGTTTCATGGGCGACCACAAAAGCTGAAGAAAATCCATCTTCATGGTTAAGAGTGCAGCTTCTGACAGGATGGCACATGCCTGTTACTGGAGCATAGCCTGTTGAAAATGTGAAAGACTTGGGTTTTAAAAGCAAAACAAAGCACTGTTTGTTAGCCCTCTATGGCTACTGCTATATCGTCAAGCCTTAACCTACTGACAGAACAGAATTGTCAACAGTGCAGAAGGAGACATTTCTTTACAGTTCTGTGCAAAAGAAAAAGAGAGATTTCCAGTCGCGTCATATGAAAATAGATAGCTGCCTTATAATGTGTGTATGTAGCTTAGAATTGTGGTAGTGACTCTCCATGGTTTCTAGCAGGGATCGTCCCCAGCCCTATGCATAGATTGAACCTGGGACCTTCAGCATGCAAAGCCTTCCTCAAACCCTTTATTTACCTTTCTACTGCACACTTTCTTCCCTTACTCCATCTCCTTCTGAGTAGGAATGAACCTTAAAGAAAAATGGCTACTAGAAACCAGGGTGTGTGATTGCCATTCACCATCAGAGTAACATGAAGCTGGGAGAGATTCAGGAAACCTTTACAACCCATTCCTAGCTTCTAAATACATTATTTTAATAACTGTTAGAAGTTCTCTAGTTTTATTTCATAAACCTAGTGGAGTAATAATAATAATAATTGCGAGAGAAATTGCTGAACACATTCCCCAGCAGGGATAGATTGAGTTACTAAACTTTGACCAACTCTGAATAAAGAGAGAAGAAATGACTTGTGAATTCTGGCTGGATTCCACTTGCCTGAATCAAGTAAGTAGAATCTTGAAAACAGCCAACACAGCAAAATACTTGTTTTAAAAAAAGTCTTGTTCGCGCTACCTTGCATTCCGGCTGGTCCAAAATCTTGCCTGGTTAGGAATATGGCATGATCGTGGTGCTCCGAGTGGCTGGAGTCTGCTTTCTGTTGCTGATATGCCCAGCGGCAAACATTCTCCAGGCTCCGGGATGGATTTCCTCGTTCAATAAGGCTGATGGACTGAGCATGAATGTGATATATGTTAGATGGGTCTGATCACAAGTGTAGAGATTGCTGCTGGCCAGGCCAGGCGCCAGCACTCAGCACGGCAGAGCAAATGATGTGACTCTGGAGAGCCCTGCAGGAGTGATATTCAGGACCCCTTGTCATTTCATTCTATTCTAGAAAAAATAAGATGGCAGCAACTGCAGATGATAGCTCAGTTTGCAAGAGTGTGGTGCTGATAATTCCAAGGTTGCAGGTTCAATCCACGTATGGGACAGCTGCATATTCAGGTTGGACTAGATGATCCTTCCAAATCCATGATTCTATGAATATATGAATCTCTTCTATGATTCTATGCTTCATCTGGCACATGGCCTCATGGTGAGGGGCTGCACATGGTTGCCTCTCCCCACTACTCCATAGTACAGTTGTGGGGAACTTCAGGGACTGAATCTGGACCTCTATGCCTCTCTGTTTGGCCCTTGGATCTCTCCCCAGGACACACCCCTTATCCTTGAGCCACACTCCTCACTGACCCCAAGTGTTTTTGCCTTGATGGAACGTGTCCTTGAACTCTGATAACGCTTTTTGCTCCCCTGGATGGAGGCTGGAGAGCAGTGTATGAAGAAACTAGGCTACTGATGCCTCACAAGCTGAGGAGACCTGGACACATCATCATCATCATCATCATCATCATCATCATCATCATCATATTTATACCCCTCCCATCAGGCTGGGTTTCCCCAGACACTCTGTGCAGCTTTCAGCACATCTAAAAACAGAAGACATCAAACATTAAAAACTTCCTGAAACAGGGCTGCCTTCAGATGCTTTCTAAAAGTTGTGTAGTTCTTTATCTCCTTGATATCTGATGGGAGGGCGTTTTACAGGGCGGTCACCACCACTGAGAAGGCCCTCCGCCTGGTTCCCTGTAACTTCACATCTCACCAGAAGGCCCTTGGAGGTGGACCTCGGTGTCCAGGCTGAACAATGAGGGTGGAGGCACTCCTTCAGGTATACTGAAGTTATACACAGATGCCCTTTTCAGTGGCAGCCCTGTCAGGTCAGAACATCTGCCCTCAGTTGCATAAATGAAAGATGGAACTCTGTGTATAGTTAAAATATAATAAAATACTACTGGTAGTGTTTTGGATCTTCTGCTATAAACACACTCTTTTTTCTGGCTCAAGGCAGTCAGATCTGCTTGTTGTAGCTGCATATTAGAAACTTTGCAGAAGACATTATCTCCGATGTTTATATTCTTCATCCCGGTAATGAATTGGGGGCTATCCTTTTCTTTGCGGGAGAAGCCATGTGCAGAACAAATGCTCAATGAGTGAGACAGTCTCAGAACCAGGACAATTGTGGCTGCACAGCTGGGCTTTGCTTACATTCCCAACTGCTGGGGGAGAAGAGGCAACCCTCTTGGAAAATAAATCTGAGGCCAATGACATGAACAGAACTGCCAGCATTTCTGCCAGGGGTGCTTGAAGCAGCAGTGTTGTGTACTCAGATGAAAAGGCAATAAATATTTATTAGTGCTCTGGGTTATTGATGAAGTGGTCCTTCCACCCACCCAAGAAGAATATTTATTAGCACTTACGGATATTAATGAAGCAGTCCTTTCACCCACCCAAGAAGCATTATACTGTCCAACTAAGTGATAGAATAATGATATATACAAATGACTGCTTTGTGCAGCCGTTTTTATCTATAGAACCAAGCCTGCTTTTCCTTTGTCTTTTTGGAGAAAGAGGAGCAGTAGCGTCATAAAGAGAACCCTGGCAGCCAAACTACAGATTATGCAGAAGCAGTGGCAAAATTATGAACTTCAGTGTCAAGGAGTGTATGGTTGAGAGAGAGAGAGAGAGAGAGAGAGAGAGACCAGTTCCTCTAATATCAAACAAAAGTGGTGAGTGCCAACAGAATTGTAGCCAAAATAAAGCTGAAAAACTGGAGTGAAGTGTCAGTATGCTGGAAGGATTCCTAAGGCTTGCAAAAGTACAATCTAGATGATCTAGATATCAATATTGATATAGATGAGATGATCTACAGAGCCAAACTATACCTCTAACTGTAGGCAGACTAAGGCCCCGGGGCCGCATCTGGCCCAATCTACTTCTAAATCCGGTTCAACGGACGGTCCAGGAATCAGCATGTTTTTACATGAGTAGAATGTGTGCTTTTATTACAATGCATCTCTGGGTTATTTGTGGGGCCTGCCTGGTGTTTTCACATGAGTAGAATGTGTGCTTTTATTTAAAATGCACCTCTGGGTTATTTGTGGGGCATAGGAATTCGTTCATCCCCCCAAAAAAATATAGTCTGGCCCCCCACCACAAGGTCTGAGGGATAGTGGACCGGCCCCCTGCTGAATATGTTTGCTGACCCCTGGGTCTAACCTGTCTCCCCAGGCCACAGTCTTCACTTATCCTGCTTCTTTGAATGTTTTTGCCTACATGGAATGTGCTTTTGAATTCTGCTAATGCCTCTCAGCCTCCCAGATGGAGGGGAATATCTGTAGAAAGTAGCCTTTCAGTACATAGGTAGAATTCACCTTTGCTGCCCCACTCACCTTTGCCCCTGGCTCCGCCCATCACTGACTCATGGCCCCTGGAAGAGAATGCATCCTTAAGGCTGAAAAGGTTTCCCCACCCATGACTTAAAGGACGGTAATTTGAAGGTATCGCTGGGTTTTCAGAAGCTGACTGCCACTAGATGGCAAAAGAGACGTGGTCTGCTCAGTTTACTCTCCTGCCAAAATCCTCCTAAAGAGAAGTGACAGGATGCAGGCCAGGGCTGTGATTTTGTGGGGTGCAAGATGGGGCGGGGATCTGAAACAAAAACCGAGTGGAGAATTCAGATTCTGGAGACTCTCAGCTTTCAACTTTAAAACCAAGTTTCTAGTCCTTGTGGTTGAATTTTTTTATTTGTAAAAATGTTTGCAGAATGCCAACTGAAGTCTCAGGAGCCAAAAGAGGTGGTTTGGTGGAATTTATAGTGACCTAGTACATGCAAGGAGGTTTCAGTGTTAAGCTACTTTAGCAATCCAAATGACTACAGTACTGAAGTTAAAAATTTGCAAAGCAATTGCTGGGTAAATCATGCAAAGTAAGAGGAATTGCAATGAAGTGTTTTATTTGCACCATTCCGGTGGTTGCAGATTTCAGCTACTTCTGTGCACAGGATTTGGGCTTCCTTGAGTGCAGAACTTTCCCTTAAAAAAATTTAAAAAAGCCACACGGAATAACCCCAGACTCTATTTGTTCAACCAAAACAGAAAAATGCAAGGCAAAGGATAATAATGAAAAGATCTGTTAGATTCTAGAATGTTGCTCCATTTGCTTTCTTCTTCCAGGCTCAGAATTAAAGCAAACATGATAAGGACACAGACCTTGCTTATCACCTGAGGATTAAGGCAGGATTTGAACCAGCCCACAGAGGTGGCCATTGCTGCAGCAGCAACTCTCTCCCCTCATTACTCTTCTTGATACACACACACAAAGAATCCACACACATGTGATGTCTTCATTCAGGAAGCACACATAGTAACATCTCACCTTCCAAAAGCAATTTGGATGAGAATGGAGACAGATGGGACCGTTCACTTGGTTTGCTTACCTTGGTGTAGCCCAACATCATCATGCGAACCAGAACAACGTTTATGTGGACGCCCAGGGATTCATCCTGGTAAATTTCATTCACCTAAAAGAGAGAGGCAGAGAAGGTAAAATCTGAACAGTCACAAATCCAAAGTTTGATTCAGTCGACAATTAAAAGGACAACCCGATTTCTACTTTCCAAAACAGTGCGTGTTGGAACAGTGGGATTTTGCAACTGTGTCAAAGGGAGGATAAATGCATCAAGCTGGTGCATGTTGCTTCTTAAAATCTGCACTCCAAATGAGTATTCCTTCTCCTTAGTTTATATCAGTGGTTCCCAAAGTGCTTGCTTCTGGGGGGGGTGTGACCTAGGGGGGCACTAAGAGGCAAAGGGGGCGGCAAGGGATGCGGAAGTGAAAATAACTTTTCAGGCATTGGAAATCTGACATCACTGGATCAAGTTCATCTATTTTGTTAAATTAATTAAACTAAATAGTTTTAATTGGATTTTGAATCAATGTGCAATTACCATATTGGCCCGAATATAAGGCACACTCCCCCCCCCAAATTCCAACTGTGAAAAGTTAAAGTGTGGCTTAAATTTGCGACCTTACAAAAATTGACTTTTACGATATCGATGTAGGGTTTTCTTCAACATTGGCCATTTATGGGTGTGAGTGCTTACAGAATTTTAAGGGAGCAGCTTATTGTCTTTTTTTCTTTGTTCCCCTTGAACTTTAAAGGTGCAGCTTATTTGCGGGTGCAGCTTATATTCAGGCCAATACGGTAATTGCTACTGCAATTAATATTTTATTATATTATTATCTTCCTTAGTGGGTCATGCAGAATGCTATTCTGAATAAATGCCCTTTGTAGTGTATGGGGGATGAGCTTATGGAACCAAGGGGGCGGAAGGTCAAAAATTTTTGGGAATCATTGGTTTATATGAACTTTTCATGATCCCTTGTCCTTGCCACTAGCATCAGATGTTCTGAGTTTTCCTTGTGCCTTTGCATAGTGCGTGGGATTACACCAAAATATTTCAGGTATCTGGAAGAACCAAGACCCCTGCTGTCTCCCGTGTCCCATTAATAGGGTTTTGGGGAGGGAAATTCAATTTAGTTCACATTTAGTTCACTGATTCACACTTTCTGTAAAAACACGGGGCTAGATTCAGCTTTACAAGCAACTTTACTTTTCCTAGATTTCTTGGAGGCTATCCATTTCTCTCAGGCTCGCAGATTGCCAAAGCCTTTTAAATGCTTCAGCTGAGCGTGGTTTTGAAAGGCTCATGAAAAATTGACACAGGTCATCCTCTCAAAGATGCAGACACATTGATCTCCCTCCTTCGCTTACAAAGCACTTTTCGTGGGTTGTGAGGGCAGGGGAAGGGGAATAGAGTCGTAAACAAGGCTGCCTGTTGGCAAGAAAGAAAGACCTGTGTCCTAAGGGACAGATGGCACCGAAGCATTTATACAGGGCTGGCTCTATCATTAGGCAAAGTGAGGCAATTGCCTCTTGCACCACATGCTTGCGAGCAGTGGCTGAAGCCCCCCTGGTGTTGCTCCAAAGCACCCTGGCCTTTTCCCTCTGCATGCTAATGCCCTGCCCTTGTCCCCCCAAAATAGCCTGCTGCCTCAGGTACAGTGCAGGATGCCAGTCCAAACTGCTTCTGTTGCCTCAGGCAACAAAATGGCTTGTGCCGGATCTGCATCTTTGGAACACAGATTAAATTTTTGCTAGTTTTTATTTTTATTTTTATGCATGTTATAGTTAATATGATGTTTATTTAAGGTGCAGTCAGATATGGGTACTATTGTGCTAGTTTTCCTGCTTATAATGCCAGCAGGTCTTTTCTGTTTTCTGAGGTATTATGGCACTGTGGCATTTTGAGGGATATATTGCCATGCCGTGCTAAATTTCATTCACGCTAGTGGGCATGATGTGAAATGACAAATGATGTCTTTGGACAAGAGAAACCAGTAGGAGAACATTTCAATCTCCCAGGACATTCAATACAAGATTTTGAAGCAGCTGTCTTATTACGAAAGAATTTCAGAAATAGACTTGAAAGAGAAGTTGCTGAATTACAACTTATTACCAAACTGAAAACTATGGAGAGACCTGGTCTGAATAGAGATATCGGATTCCTGTCTCATTACACATGCTAAAGCTATTTTTTTGTCATCTGCATACTATACCTTGCTTTTTCCTGTAGGACTAATTGCAGTCATTAACAGTCATCAACAGGTTTACCATACCCATTGAGCCAATCACCCATCTTCCACTACCCTTCTGAGAAATACCCCACCCCACCCTCTCACTATATATAAGGGTTGGTGACTTCTGTTTCAGTGTATCTGAAGAAGTGTGCATGCACATGAAAGCTTATACCAGAACAAACTTAGTTGGTCTATAAGGTGTTACTGGACAATTTTTATTTTTATTTTTTATTTTGTCTTCGGACAACGTCACTATTCTGCAACTTTCTGCAGGTTCAGGATACACCCATGAAAATTGCAGGAAAGAACTGTATGATAGTATACTGCCCCAAATGTTGACACTTTACTTCTGTTGTTTTCCTGGATTAAGGGGTTTTCTTTTCTGGAAGCAATTAACATGGACATGAGTGCTAAACCTCCACTATATTCTGCTAGATTTCCAGAAGTAGTTTTAAGGTCATGTGAAAGTTCAAATATAGTGCCTAAATTAACAGTTATGCAAATGCTGGGGGGAAGGAATAAACCGCCGTGTGAATGCACCCTCAGTAAAGGTAAAGGACCCCTAGACAGTTAAGTCCAGTCAAAGGCGACTATGGGGTTGCGGCAGTCATCTTGCTTTCAGGCTGAGGGAGCCAGCGTTTGTCCACAGACAGCTTTCCGAGTCATGTGGCCAGCATGTCCAAGCTGCTTCTGGTGCGATGGAACATTGTGATGGAAACCAGAGCGCACAGAAATGCCATTTACCTTCCCACCGGAGTGGTACCTATTTATCTACTTGCACTGGCATGCTTTCGAACTGCTAGGTTGGCAGGAGCTGGGACAGAGCAATGGGAGCTCACCCCATGGCGGGGATTCGAACTGCCAAACTTCTGATCGGCAAGCTCAAGAGGCTCGGTGGTTTAGACCACAGCACCACTTGTGTCCCTTAGTTCCTTGACTTCACCCCCCTCCCCACCTCTATGCTTCAGAATACACCTGCAAAATGCCCCACCAGTGGAGTAGAGAGGGAGTTAGTCCTGAGTACTGGATGAAAAAACATGCTTCCCAGAACAACTACAGAGGAAGAGAACTCACTATATTCATCAGGGTGAGGAGGTAGTTCTGAACGTGTTCTTTGCCATGGAATCGGACGACGGAATCATCCACTCCCAGAAGCACCTCGATGTTGTAGTGATTGTCGCCGGCATTCCGGCGCTGCCTCAGCGTCTCGTTCAGCCGTTGCTCTACACTTGCATACATAGAGTCGAGACTAGGACGACCCCCAAGGCCAGATTCTAAGGGGAAATAAAAGCACAGGTTCCATTGTTATTATTCATTTTCTACTTTGCCTAGAATTTTCCAGGGGGTTTCAAGTGCCCCTTGACATCCTTTAGTTACAGAAGCCGTACCATAAATTACAGATAGACCCCGACCATCTTTCCTGCAAGCTCAGCTAGAAAACAATGTTGGAAACTCATATGACGTTGCTGAATGCCTTCCAGTGGAAGGACCATAGCTCAGTGGTAGAGAATCTGTTTTTCAATCCCTGGATTCTGCAGGTAGGTCTGTGAATGCCCCAAGCATGAAACGGTAGAGAGCTGCTGCCACTGAGTATAGATGGATCATTTCAAGAAACATAATTTTGTCCTGTGCAGTTTTGGCTTCTACAACAGTGTTCTAACCTGAGCTCTTGTGGCCACTGTTTTCTCTGCTTGCCAGGACATCACTGTGGTTGCAGGACGGGCACCTCTATAGGGTCTCTATTAAGTTCTGAATGTGTTCTGCAGCTTCCAGGCCACTGGGAACCATGGGAAATGTTCTTTCCTATGATTCCCAGCATCACAGAACGATTCCAAGCAAAATCTTTGTATCACCTAAGGCCTAACAATCTATCATTGTAGCCTTCACCTCCATTTTTTTTTGGGGGGGGGGGAGTCATGGGGGAGTACAGGGGTGCCAACTTGAATAAAATATTAGGCGGCCCAGGTAAGTCCCGCCCCACATAACTGATCACATGATGCAGCATGCACACACCATTTAAATGGCAATTCCTGTCAACTTGGCAGGGCACCCTCAAATATTGTATTGTGGGAGCGAAGGGACCTTGGCCCCTAGGAGTTGGCTCCTAAGGGGAAGTAACCCACCTAGTCATTAAAAAAAACATAGCGCCAAGATTGTCCATTCCCAGAATTAGTAACTTGTGAATTGGATGGCCATTTTATTTTTCAGGGAATCAATATTCACCGCTGATTCCACATTCCCTTTTAAAATAATAAACCCACTACATGTGGTGTAGTGGTTAGAGTATTCGGCTAGGACCTCGGAGACCAGGGTTCAAATCTCCACTCAGCCAAATGAAGTTCACCGGGTGAAATTGGGGCAGCCAAGGACTCTCAGCCAAACCTACCTCACAGAGTTGTTGTGAGGATTAAAAGGGGAAGAAGCACGAATGCCACCTTGAGCATGTTTGTGGAAAAGGTGGGTTGTGTGTGCAGAAAATTAATAATAACTAGTAGAGGGAATTTAACCAAAGTTCTGAAACTTGCACAACTCCTTCCAGTGAGCAGCTGCAGTGCCTTGCTCAGTAGTGGAGAATATTCTCTCTCTCTCTCTCCTAAAATTCATCTCAGTAGCTCAACAACACATAAGTAACCCTCCTTCCATCCCCACATCAAACAGTGAGACTTCCCTCGCACTGTGAGCCCTTGCGGGTGAGAAACCCAGCCTAGCAAACAAGCTCTACAATTTGACCTCCGCTTCTTTGCAGGGCTCAAGAATGCAAAGGCTGTGATAGCACACAAGTGGGAAATTCATACCCCTGGCTCCCATTTCTAAAAATTGCTCCTCCTGGCAAGGGTGGGTGGTTTTCTTTTGGGTTTTCTTTTTTTCTTTTTTGGAGCGCCACGTCTAATGGAAATATACAGTCATGTCATCATATCATTATGCCCGTTGCATGAATGGAATAGTCTGAATCGGCAGGTCAGCGGGGGGGGGGGGAGGGCCGTCTGCTCCGCACAGGGCCCATGGGCTTGGCTGTCATTTCCCTCTTTAAATAAGTGGTTTTGTGGTCAGGAGTAAGTGGAGAATCTTCCTTTCTGTGTGTGAAAGGGTCAGGGAGAAACACTTTCTTTCCCCAAAGTTCCTGGACTGTGGATTTGCAGGTTAAAAAGCATCCTCATTGCCTGGTTTTTCCCTGCATGAAATATTCAGGATCTTAATTTACATCCCCGGCAAATGGACAGGTACAGCCATCTGCTTACAGGGGGGGGGGGAAGGTTTAGCCCGTGGCAAAAGCACCATAGCAGGGCTCATCAGACTTTATGCACAGTTAAACAATGGAGGCAGAGATGGCCAACAACCTGTTGTTGTTGTTTAGTCGTTTAGTCGTGTCCAACTCTTCGTGACCCCATGGACCAGAGCACACCAGGCACTCCTGTCTTCCACTGCCTCCCGCAGTTTGGTCAAACTCGTGCTGGTAGCTTCAAGAACACTGTCCAACCATCTCGTCCTCTGTCGTCCCCTTCTCCTTGTGCCCTCAATCTTCCCCATCATCAGGGTCTTTTCCAGGGAGTCTTCTCTTCTCATGAGGTGGCCAAAGTCTTGGAGCCTCAGCTTCAGGATCTGTCCTTCCAGTGAGCACTCAGGGCTGATTTCCTTCAGAATGGAGAGGTTTGATCTTCTAGCAGTCCATGGGACTTTCAAGAGTCTCCTCCAGCACCATAATTCAAAAGCATCAATTCTTCAGTGATCAGCCTTCTTTATGGTCCAGCTCTCACTTCCATACATCACTCCTGGGAAATCCATAGCTCTAGATGGTTTTAAAATAGGGTTGTTTTTCATGAGCCATCCTCAAGTAGCAAGTTCTGCCTGCCAGCCACCCACAGAACAATTGGCAAATCAGATGCAGTATTATCTGGGATAAAAAGAATGCAAACACCCGGCAGAAGGTAGGATCCTCTCTTCCCAATCTGCTTGCTAACCTGCAACCTTCTGAACGCCAAGCAGATGCTCTGCTGTGGAGCTGCTGCCAAAAGCTATTTTTTAAAGTTTCCGTTACCTGTAGCAAATCTGTTTGAAGCAGACATGCTAATCTCATGTAATCTCATTCTGAAATTAGCCGGGTCATTCTCATCTATGTGTCTCTTGCAGCCTGGCTTCCTTGGCTTTACAGTGGTGTGGCACGTAACACCACTGCCAGCCACATTTTTTTTCTATGAAGAAACTGTGCTGATTTAAAGACGATCCTTAAGAAGTCATTCACTCACCTTCAAAAATTCAGTTCCTTTACTGGGGAACACACACACACACACAACAGTTTTTAACCTTTTTGATGTTTTACGATTTCAGTTATAGTAAGTGATTAAAGGAACCTTGTTTAAAACAAGGCTAGGGCAGCCTATGACCCTCCAGATTTTGTTTATTCATTCATTTGTTGCTTTTAAAATATATAAACTGCATGTTCAAAAGACAATTGATTTCAGACAGATATACGCAGGAATTTAAAATCTGCAAAACAACAGGAGAGACTGGAGGAGGAGGAGGTTTATTGGTGTGTGTGTGTGTGTGTGTGTGTGTGTGTTGTTCTTGTTTGTATTTTGTCTTTTATTTTGTGTTTTTATGTTGTGAACTGCCCTGAAATCTATGGATGAAGCATACAAACTTAATAAATCATCATAATAAAATAACTGTACAATGAAACAGAGGGGGGAAACTATTCAATCCACTGAAAGCACCACAGTTTTAAATGCCAGGGCAAATTAACCTATTGCTGGGCTCCATCTCCCATCAGCCCCCGCCAGCATGGCCAATGGTCAGGGATGATGGGAGTTGTAATCTGAAAGACAAAGCAGAAAACAGTACGTCCAGAGACCCACAGATTCCCCATTCCTGATTTAAGGGGAAAACTGAATTCAATACAAACATACATTTGGCACACATACACCCTCTTAAAACTGAATTATGACCATGTATCAAAGTACAGCGGTACCTTGGGTTAAGTACATAATTCATTCCAGAGGTCCATTCTTAACCTGAAACTGTTCTTAACCTGAAGCACCACTTTAGCTAATGGGGCCTCCTGCTGCCGCCGTGCTGCTGCAGCACGATTTCTGTTCTCATCCTGAAGCAAAGTTCTTAACCCGAGGTACTATTTCTGGGTTAGCGGAGTCTGTAACCTGAAGCATATGTAACCTGGAGTGTATGTAACCCGAGGTACCACTGTACTGAATTAAAGCCTGTAATTCTATATAAGAAAAATAAGTGCAGAGGGTATATGTTTCGGACTTCTGAGGCTAAGCACTGTCATGTATTCGATATTTACAAGACTTAAAACCTGCAAGTTGCTGTAACATCAGTAGCCGACAGTGTGATGGGATGAATACACTCACCTGATCACCCAACAGCTGAGTCAACGCTGCTTACTAGGAGGTGATAGAGAGGCTGGTGGAGTGCAAAAGCATCATAAGCACCAGATTGCCTCTGCCATTGCATCTGCACCGCACTGACCTCTCCGATGCGTCACCTCCCAGTATGCAGCAGAGACTCGGCTCTCAGGAAGTCAGGCAAGAGCCACCACCCTTTCACTAAGAATCCATGGAGGTCACGTTGATGATTTGATACTTCTCTTAACTGTGCAATGTGCTCAGTTCCAGATGATGAATCTCTAGCACTCTACCAACCAAATGGCATCTACATTTAAGGTCCCATCTCATAGAGGAACACTAATTTTCCTTCTGGAAACTGGTAGAAAATTAGCTTTCACGTAACTGATCTTAATTAGCATCCTTTTGTGCATGGGAGCACAAAAGGGCAAACACAAATCTGCCGCTCATCCCTAAGCAGAGTAAACAGTGCATGGGAACTCATAGCTAAAGGTTTTAGATGGGGGTGGGTAACCTATAGACCTCCACTATCCCTCACCAATGGTTAGCTGGCTGGGTCTGATATAAACTAGGAGTCTCCCAGTATCTGGAGGGCCACAGGTTAAGCACCCCTGTTAGATCGTGCTCCCACGTTCAGTAAAGGCTATTTTTAGTTATAAACATTTTTTTTAAATAGTGACCAATGTATGCTTGCTCAGGATATGTATTAATTGCAAAATGTAAAGCTTGACTGAAATCCACCTTCCTTCTCAGGGATTGAAACCAATCGTTTAAATAAACCTACCCTGCCTTTTCCTCGGTTAAACAAGGATTGTCCTGTTAGCTAATAGGCCTAGAAAATGAAGGATTTCAACAAACAGTGCACTCTTCAGTTCATTCCCTGCTATGCACACACCTACACACACCCTGTAGTT